CCCAATAATTAAGAATTTTAATAAGAATGATTTTTTCTCTTTACTTTTTTATAATAATAATTTTTTTCTATTAATATTCTATTAATTAGTAAGTATAGGATTTAGTTTCTTTTAAATAATATTTTAGTTTTCAATCTTAAGATATAGTTGGAATCATAATTGAGAGTTTTTTTTGTGTAATATATAATATTTTTAGATATATGTGTATTTAATAATTTTTTTTAAATTATATTTTTAAAAATTATAAAAAAATTACAATAAATCTACAACAACATTATATATAAAATTAGAAATTTTATTTTAAAACTTTTTAATTATGATTTTTATCTAAAACACTTAATATTTAATATAATTATAAAATTATCTATTAAAATTTAATTTTATATAATTTAATTACATTATGATTTATAATACTTCAATAATAATAATAAATCTAAAAGACTTAAACTATTAAAAATAGTAAATATTATTTATTTTAATAATTATATATTTTATAATATTTTTAAATTTTAATTAATAATTAATAAAATATATCATATTTCATCAATAATACTTTTAAGAAATAATAACCAAACAGGAAAGTAATTTTCAACTATAATTTCAGCACAATATAGTTTCATACAATTACAACCACAGTACTTCGTAATAATTTCAAATACAACCTTAATATCGTGAATAGAGTAATAACTATTGAAAGAGTTTCCTCCTTTAAACATTTGATAACTTCAAATTAATTAAAATTTCATATATATATATTTTTTTTGAACTAGAGAAAAGTTGGGGGAAATGAAAAATAGAGGGTTGTTATTGCAGCTTGAACTCTGACCGAGATCAAGAGTTAGGGGCACTCAAATCAAAGTAACCAAAGCTACGGGTGTAAAATTTAATATAATTTTTTAATACTAAAGAATAAGTAAAAGTAATAATAATTAATCTTCTTTCTAAGATTAATATTTATAAAAAGATAAAATAATAATAAAAGATCAAATCCAGTTTAATTTTTTTGATAATAAGAGATAAGATTACTTTTCTTCAACTTGTTACTAAGCTATAGCGTTTTTATTTTTTTCCTTTCATCAAGCTTACTAGCCATATCTATCGGAGAGAGGCGCTTAAGGCATAAAGTTTTAGATTCTACATCCAAACATTATTATTTTCTCATTTTTAAATATTCTTTAAATTAAAAAAAAATATTTTTTTTTTGTTTTTTGTCACCTTAAAATATATAAAATATTAATTAAAATAAAATACTGTGTAATTGTTATTGTGTGTTTTAAGGAATTAAGAATTTAAATTTTCAACTCAAAATTTTAAAGTTCAAATATTAAAATAGACAAAGAAAGATTAAAGAAAAGGAAATAC